AGACTGCAGTAGTTTATGAAGGATTCTAATTTGAGGTTCAGGAAATAGCCTCTCACCGCTACTAATTCAGATCTCTTCCAGAGAGCTGCTGGATTTCGTCATCATTGACAGACGTTAGTGACCACCTCCTCGGGCGGCTGCTGTTAGCAATGGCTGTTGTTGTCATGTGGAAATACTTCTGTTACCTCGCTGCTACTTTTCTGCCAGGGATAAATGTTTTGAGGTGGCCAGACCCAGAACATCCTTACAAGGATTCCTGTTACAGTGCTAGAGTAGACACTGCTCATTTCTCCTATTCTTATGTGCTTTCTTCATTATTAAGATTATTTTATGTTAAGAAACTAAGTGACATTTAAAGTCCAAAGAAGAGTGATCACAGTTGTATAGGGGGGATTTCACACTTGAACTCTGATGTCAGTAGATTCTGTAGGTCAGGGCTACAGTGGCCTGTTTGGTTTGATGTTTTGGTAGTTTCATTAGGGGGTGTGGGATAGTGTAGGGCCTAAATCCCTGTGCAGATATTTTTGTTCCAGAAGTGTGTATTCTGTCATCTATGAGCAAGAAATGTGGGCATAGTGGCTCTCGGTTTTAAGTTTGCCGTACTTTTTTCTTTGTGTTTGTTTTAAGCTCAGGTAAAGGTAACCTCCACCTTCTATGACTCCGGTTTCCATTCAGGGTATAATGTTTTTCAGTAATAGATTTTCTTTTTCATTTGGGCAATAAAATTGATGTTTCCAGAGGGTAGCATGTGGGAGGGGGATTGTGATGAAGTTCAGCAAGTTCTACCCTGAAAATGTTTTCGTAGCTCAGCAGATATAAGATGAGGTTTAACAACTTTCATGGAAATTCCAGCTTGATGTTTCAAGGGGAAAATGGGCCATTGTTCTAATGGATGTGAACAAAGAGGGCTTGTGTAACTCTTAACATTGATGGAGGTGTATTTCCCTCAGTGTGAGTTTTCAGATGAAACTTTGACCTTTGGCTGAGTTTTACTGTCAGTAAAATGTACTGTGGTGTGTGTGTCGGGGGTAGGTTTCCTGGTCCTTTAGTTGGCTCTAATTTCTGGCAACTCGAATGGCTTTGCTAAGTGAATAGCCGTGTTGAATGCAGTTTGTGACCTGAAAGACTTGATGATCTCCCAGGGAAGGACGAATGGCTTCAGGACTGTGTAGCCCCCAAAAGCATGAAGCCCCAGCATGTAAGACACAAACAGTGTGGGGTACGGAGACTGCATCAGGCACTGGTTCCTTCTGCCCAAAACGGCATCTATCTAAAAGGCGCGTGGTAAGAGCCCTTGAACCTGTCACTGGAATGGGTTTGAGTTCATGGTCACTGAGCTCACCCAACTGCCTTTGTTAAAAGCCTTTGAGTAGAATAATGGTGGAGGATGACTAATAACAATCTTTAGTCGTCCACGTGATAAGTTTGCTAGCACGTGTTCATAACCTTTGTGGGGAAGCCAGGACCACTTGGGCCGTGGCTTAAGCCGTTTAGTCGCTACATGTGACATGCGCACCAGGAGGTGGATGAGATGGCATTCAGTGACAAGGACAGCATCACCCAGGGGACAGAGGCAGGTTGTTCGGCTCCTTTCTCACATTGGGGGGTGGGGGCTTTCCTCCTCCTCTCCAGCTGGGAGCACTGAGGACAGTGAGGGGGGCTTTTGCCCATTTAACCCTTTTCTTGTTCAGCCACTCTGCCTTTTGTCCAGGGCTTCCTCCTACCCCCCAAATTCTGCCCATTGGCCCTTTGACAGGAATAGTTAACAAGGTAGGTTGACGCCCTCCTGTCCTGCCCTCCCCACACGCACACAGGCGCGCATGCGTACATCCATGCCGTCCTCCATTCCCAGGTCCTCTACTTCAGGGCAGCCCGTTCTTCTCTGGACTCACTCATAAATACAAAAACCTACATCTTTGGCCAGTGATGTCGTGAGGCCTCCACGAATGGCTGCTTCTGCATACACTGAAGAAGTACTTGTCAGGCTCTGCAGACTGATTTTCAGAGAGGCGGAGTCTTCGAAAGAATCTCTTTTTACTGGAAGGTGGAACTTGACCCAAAGTGGGAGTCAGCCTTGCTCAGACATGTTTTGCGGTAGATGGTTGAAAATGTATCGAAGGTAATTTGACACTCCTGCTGGCAGTAGTTCTCCATTCAGCGTTTATAAACCCATTCAGGTTATATCTTCATAAAAAGAATTGATTTCTATGTTTACATGAGACGATAAGTTGTGTGAAATGGTCTGTTGTAAGGATTTCCATGACAGCCTCTTTTCCTGAGACGGAGAGATGGGAGGTGATCCCCCCACTCAATGTGGAATCAAACTGTGGGTTCTCAGTAGCTAAAGAAGCCATGTACTGTATAGTGTTTTTCTTAGAGTATCAACTCATGTTCTTCAGATGCTTTTTTTTTTTTTATTGGTGAGGGAAAAGGTATAATTTGGGATTCCACAGTGCCTTGCATACAGTAGGCGCCCAATAAATACTTGTTGAAGCAAACCAAGTTTCCCAAGTCCTTGTCTCTCGCAGCGACCAACATCTTTCTCCTCCGAAGGGCTTGGCAGTTGTGGCTAAAAATAAGCAGTATCATTATGTGCTTGAAATCATATATACAATTTGTATGAATTTCAGTATGTTGCCAAGACATGATCTTTTTCTTATTGTATTTTCTGTAAATATTTCTGGCACTGAACTGTAAAGTAAAGGCGAAATGTACATATGAAGGTGCACCCGTGTCCCCTCGCCGCCTGTGTTTTCTCTTCGTTGGTGAGGGAGGAAGGCCCAGAGGCTTGTTTGTATTTATGCCGATCCTTTGTCCAGAAGAAGCCCATGGAATATTGAATGTAATACATTTAGTCAATTAAATTTTAAGGAGATTCTTATCTAATAACCTTGTGTGTGCTGTTGGTTACAGGCCAGGGCGGGGTTGGGGGGGCGGGTTGGTGTCTGCATGGGTGTCCCTCATTTACTCTTTCCAGGGGGTTCTGCTTTGGCCGTTCTTCCTAATTTAGTTCTATGAGTTTTCACCCTGGTTTTGTAGTTTTGTCAAGTACTCAAAATTTGATGAATTTTAAAAGTTGGCTTTCTATGCCGGAAGGAGCTTGTATAATTAAAGCACTGCCAATAGACCCACCTTACAGAGGCTGGCAGTCAGCGCGAGGTTGGCTGGCTCTCTGTCCTGGGAACACGGAAATGGCAGCATGCGCTCTGCCTGCAAAAAACCTGAGCTCTGCCAGGGCTGGCCAGTCAGGGCAGGGGAGGGCGCGGAGGAGCACACCCCTCCCCATTGCTGCCCCTTTGAGTAGGGTCGGCTGCAGAGGGTTCCATGGGCGCAGATGAGCACCTTGGTGCCCAGATCATACGTCGTGGGGCGGTAGTACCGCCTGAGGAAACAGTAATGTGTGCCTTTGCGGAGAGCCGCCCTCCAGCCTAGCACTGGCTCCACGTGACTTCAGTGTGCGGCCGCCCTGAACTGTGCCTGGAAGCCAGGCCTGGGAGCTACCTCCCTTGCAGGTGTGTCCACACCTGCTCTGCCTGCTCACACAAGACCCCCAGCGGGGCATGGTGGCTGGGGAAGCTCCTCCCTGGGCTGACTGCACTGTGGCCCTGTTTGGGGATCTGGCAAGAAAATGTATGTTCAAGCCTTTCCCACCTGTGCTGTCCAGTTCTTTGTGACCCCAGCCCCTTCAGGACCTAGTGCCAAGAAATCACCCCCAACCCAGACCTCCCAGCTCCTGGTCTTGGCTTCTGGGCCTTGAGTGGCACAGCCCACCAGGGCACTGTGCCTCTTGGACTCACATTCTGATACCATCTGCCCAGACTGCCTCTCCTGGGAACTCTGGTCCCCTCCCCTCCCCTCCTTTTACTGTGGCTGGCCCCGCTTGACCTCCTCCCTGGGCTGGGAGCTCCCTCTAAGGGGGTCCTTCCACCCCATGAGTCCTTCTAGGTCTGCCACCCACTTCCTGAAGCTCCTCCCACAGCCTGGAACTGGGTCTGCCCCTTTCCCACCTGTGTTCTGTATTCCATGAAATGTCGTGGTCTCAGAATCAAGTCTGCATCAGACTGGTTGCCCGTTAATGGGGGTTCTGACTCAGCAGAACGAGGTAGCTTGGAAATGGGCATGTGTCATAAGGACCCGCCAGCCCCCACCCACCTGCCAGCAGTGACTGAGGCAGGTGACCTGAGGGCTCTTGGAGAAGCCCGTACCCTGCCTCCTTCCCCGTTACAAGCAGCAGCCATTCCGCGTGTGGACTTCCCTCACCAGTCAGGCTCCCAGCCTGGCCAGTCTCCCTCCAGCTCAGGGGCTGTCGGGCCCGGGAGGTCCAGAGCCTCCTTCCTGCCATGAATGAATGAGTGAATGAATGAATGAGTGAGTGACAGAGTGAGGTGGGAGGAGGTAAGAATGACATTTAAGCGAATTCTGCCCCACTTGGGAGCTAAAGCCTTAGAAGTCCCTCACTGAAAACTCTAAAAGGAGAGGTGCCGAAGCTTCCAGACTAAATAATAATTTATAGAGGGCCTACTATGTATTAAAATGTTTTTAAATGGCAGCCCAGTGACCCAAAATGGCTCAGCAGACTTGTTTTTAACAATGTTTTAACATTTGATTCAACGTTTTTAAATGGGGAGATTTCACATAAAAATCCAAATTTGGGGGCTCTCCTGGAAAAGTCTGGAGAACTGGCAATACCGGTCCTGCATTCCCCGCATATCAGCTCTTGGCTGGAGCTCTGATATCTGCCTGCGTTAGAGGCATTAAGTCCAATCCGGTCTGCACAGTCCTCACTGTTCCCATGTAGTACACGTGGGCACGTGTAGCCGGGATTTCGGGACCAGGGACCTGGCTGGCTCCTGGAGGGATTTGAGACCTCAGAAATACGAACACCCACCTGGGGGCAATGTTTACCCCCAGCGCTTATTTTTCTAACTTTCAGCAGCTTGGCAAGGTAAGGGTTATTTCTGTCCTACTAGAGGAGCAGGGAGGAGGTGGCACATGAATGCAGTGACCCCTCAGCAGGGATCCAAACCCCAGCTTGGGTTCTCACTGTCCCGGCTCCTGACCATTCGTCCAAAACGGCTCTCCCTGCACCTGAAGGACACTGTGACTTCCTTGTTACATCACCAGCTCAGTCACAATTGGGCTGAGAGCAGAGCGTGGCCCAGCCCTCCAGGGCCCCAGGGCAGCCCTGCCAGCTCAGCCCAGGCTGGCCCGGCGTTGCCACACACGCACGCCATGAAGTACCCCCTGGTGCCGCTGGTGAACGACCTCACGTTCTCTTTCCTGGTGTTCTGGCTCTGCCTGCCCGTGGGCTTGCTGCTGTTCTTATTGATCGTCTGGTTTCGCTTCTTACTTAGCCAAGGTGAGCCGCCCAGGTGGGGCCCTAACGCTGGAACTGGGCGGAGGGTTCTGGGGCCGCTGCAGAGAGAGGGGCTTCCTTCAGGCGTTTTCACTGCTGCTTCCTAGTTGACAGGTGGCAGAGAAAGAAAAGAGAAAAGGACCGACATGGTAGTTTAGAGTCTTCCCCTGGAGTCCTAGAGTGAATCCCTGAGTTTGACAGGGAAGCATTACACATATGTGCACGTCTGTGTCCCCTTACGGCCACTGCTAGCATGGAAGGTCTTCGGTGCTCGCAGGGGCCCTTGGAAGGAGGTGGCCCCTCTGGGCAGATGAATGAGTAAAAGATGCCGCTTGCTGTGAATGCAGCCAGGGCACAAGGCTCTGAGCAGAGTATGGGCTGGATTTCAGTCCCTCTCACCCCCTCAGCTCCGTGCTTTTGTGCAATAAACAACTTGCACAGCGGGGTATGGCAGCTTTGGGCATTTATCAGGGGCCCAGCGACACTCACGCTGTCTTCTGCCCAGAACATACATCAAGGACGACCTGGGTTTCTTGGGGACACAGGATCGCGGAACCTGGCTGACAATCGTCCTGAGCTCAGCATGCCAAGAGAAGCAGGAGGTGATGGAGCTGATCTGGAGAGAAACGGGGGGCCGGTGGGCCAGGGATACAGCCTGGGCATGAGGCAGGAGTGACACTCTGTTCTCTCAGGCGTCCAGTCGCCCTGGGCCTCTTCCTGGGGACTGCTTGACCTCCCAGCTCATGACCTTTGGCCAACTGGGCAGGGAGGGCACTGAGTGTGCTGCCACCTCTGGTCAGATAGCATTGAGACAGGGTGAGCAGTTCCACGCCCCCAACATGCCCCATGATCAAATGTGGGGGCTGGTAATGGTGTCGTTATTAGGAGTTCCTGGCGAGAGCTTCCAGAAAATGCTTGTGGAAAGTATGATCTCCTCGTTCCCAGGGTGGACCCCAGCCCTCCCTGAGGGGCACATCTCGGTCATCAGCCCGATGGCTGGTGGAAGAGAAAACTTGTCTGTGCAGTGGCTATGAAAGCCACCTGGACTCTAGGAGCTGTGGGCCCCGATGTCAGCCTTGCCCTTGAAGAGTTCATAATAGTAGTTCACCTTTTTTGAACTGTGCTAGGCCTTGTGCTAAACACTTGACGTGCATCATTTCATTTAGTCTTCAGGATAACCCTGTGAAGTAATCCTTATTGTACAATTGAGGAAACTGAGGCTCGGAGAGGAGAAGCAAACCCGCCCAAGGTCACACCCCTGTGAAGTCCTCAAGAATGCCGACTGTCTGGTGTCAAATTCTGGCTCTGCTACCTACTAGCTGTGCAACCCTGAGCCTTAGCTTTCTCATCTGCAAAATGGAAATAATAATGGCCCCCCTACCCTTTGGGGCTGTGGAGAAATGCACATCAAGGGCAGAGCACACAGTATGTGTTCACACGTGGCACATAGTAGGTGCTCATAGGCTGAGAAATAATCTAGTCAGTATCGGTTTTGTCCTGGTAGGAGGAAGCGTAGGAGTGGCTTTGGATGGCTCCTCTAGAAGGGGCGGGGGGGACACTTTACCTAAAGTCTAAGACATTACCCTCCAACAATCCATTCTCCCTGGAGGCCCTGCTCTAAGGCCATCCACAGCCTGCCCCGCCCCAACCCCTTCTCACACTTTCTCCTGAGCAGCTATTTACCCACCAACATCTCATATGGCGCTAAGAAATGAGTCCTTTTGTTAATTTTGCAATGACCAGAAACCACCCTTAAAGTGAGGTGAGCAGCCCTCCCTCAGGGTCCCTGTCTTCTTGGAACTCTCAGTATTATTGCATCTGTTCTGTCCTTGTGCCAGGAACTGGCCCCAACGGGGGGGGGGGGGCTGGGGCTTGCAACATCCTAGCCTGTGGCTTTCTAGTCTGCTGTGGATCTTTTTACTGGAGTCATTATGGCCTGGAATCCAGTAGGAAAAGCAGACAAAAGTAGCTCTGACTGCCCCTCCCCACCTCACCCCCCACCCACCTCCTGGCTCAGCAGGCCAGTTGCAGGGCCCACGAGGACACTATTTCCCAAGTCAAGCAAGGAGCAAGTGGGGAGGAGAAGGGAGGTGCCTGATGAGCTGGCATGGAGGCAAGAGAAGATCGTGGGCAGCTGAGCCCTGGAGGAGCTGGCCGTGGTGGGCAACATTAATTAACCTCCGGCCATGGTGAGGGGGAGAGAGGACGAAGCCACACGAGCCCTTCAAGGGGAAGATGCTGTACTGAAGACATTTCCTTCGCGATTTAAAAGGAATTGACAGAAAGAAGAAGGGAAACCTCCAAAGACATGGATTTAGGGCTGAAACAGAGAAGCGGGCACCAGAGGCCATGCCCATCTTGAGAGTCCTGCCCATCTCTCATGCTGGTCCCTCGAACGAGTTATTAATTTCGAAGCTGCCTTTGAGTTCCCTGACTTCAAACAGGTGCACCGATGGACCTGCCCGGGACTGTGGAGCAGGGGGTCAGTTTGAGTCCAGCAGACCTTTCCTGGCTGTGAGGCCCGACATTTCACCTTTCTGAGTCTTCCTCGTTATAGAATGTAGATAACCATGGCGATTGCCTTCAGGAAGCTGTTAAGAGGATTAAATGAGAAAATGCATGTGAAACACTTAGCCCATAGTGTGTGTTCAGAAAACAATCACTGTGTCTCGTGAGCAACAGCCACTTCAAGCCATCGTGCTGGTGTTTAACTCATGGTCACGGCCAACACTGTGGAACGTCCATTTTACATGTCTGACTTCTGATGAAGTTAACCCTTGTCGTGGAAGAGGCTACTGTTATGCCCATTTTCCAGATGAGGACACTGAGGCTCAGCCTCTTCTGTCTCCTGCGCTTAGTCTGCAATCTGCGGGTTCTTTTCAGCTTCCTTTGCTTTTCTGCAATCAGTGACACAGGAGTACACATAGTAAGAAAAATAATAATCTCCCTACCCCCTCTCCTCTCTCACCTTGCCTTTCCACAGTAAGCCATGTTAGCAAGCTCATGTACCTCCCTTCAATGACACGTGTAGATTTTCCCCCCAAAACAGGGGAGAGGGTATTCTTTGTTTTCTAAAAAAAAAAAAAAAGGGGGGGGGGGATTCTACCATATACATTTCTCTGCAACTTGCTTGTAATACATCACAGACGTCCTGCAAGGAGAAAGATACAGGCCTCATGCAGCCGTTTTAACAGCTTCATGACTTGCCGTTGGATGGATGCACCAGGGCTCCATTTGGTGGGAGTCTGCCAGTCAACCAGGCCTCTTATGATGGACACACATACACATGGTTTCCAGGGTGTTTTATTGTTTATGTGTGTGTTACCACAAAAGCGTGCTGCCGTGGAATCGTTGTACACACATACTCAGGTATTTGTTAATGAATGGACTGGTGGACACGTGGATGGGTTGGGTTTGTGTCCCCACGGTGCACACTCCTGGACCATACCCAAAACAGGAAGGTGATTTGTTCACCCCTAGGGTCCTTCCCTGGTTAGTAGGTGGATAGGGCCACTTTCTAAGCCACAGGACAACCTTCTTTCTGATCCCTGGCCACCATTCAAGGCCCTGAAGTCTTCTGAGGTCTCAGCGCTGTCCCCTATGCCATGATTCTGCCATGGCGACCTGGCCTCAGACAAGACTACAGGGGTGCCTCGGCCTGGCTAGGGGCTCCTTTTGGGTCAGGGGTAGGAGACGAGATGTGACCACCCAAGAGGCTTTATCTTATACCTCCACAGATTCAGAGGAAAATGACTCAGATTTATGCTTTGAATGGGAGCCCTGGAGCAAAGGCCCATCTGAGTTTCGTTCGGACAGGACACGCCATAGCCAAAAGGAGAGGCACAGCTGATGAGGCTGTTATGCCAGGTGAGGCCCTTCTAGGGAGGTAGGGTTAGGGGGGAAGGGGGACCCTCAGAACCTACCCCACAGCCTTGGGCGGCTGCCCCGTGGAGAGCTGGTTCCCTTCACCCTATTAGAGAGCTTGCCCTCTCTGCCATGTTGGAGAACCTTCCGCCTCATTGTGTTGGAGACCTGCTTTTGCCATGTTGGAGGACCAGCCACCTCGCCATGACCAATTTCCTTACAAAGGGCCCCCTACCCTTTACTTGTTTTTTCCTTTTCCTTTTTTTTTTTTTTTTAAGATTTTATTGAGGAATTGGGGAAGGGGAACAGCCAAGTTGTTGTCCTTCAATCTTAGTTGTGGAGGGTGCAGCTAGCTCAGCTCCAAGTCCATTCGCCATCCGGCCACCCGTCAGCAGCTGGCTGCTGCTCAGCTCAGGGTGCCGTGTTCAATCTTAGTTGTGGGTGGGCGTACCCCACCATCCCATGCAGGAGTTGAACTGGCAACCTTGTTGTTACGAGCACGTGCTCTCACCAGCTGAGCCATCCTGCCACCTGTTAGCAGCTCAGCAGCAGCTCAGCTCGGGCACAGCTCACTGGCCCATGTGGGAATTGAACCGGTGACCCTGTTGCTTAGAGCTTGCGCTTTCAACCAACTGAGCCACTCGGCCGGCCCTCCCCTTTCCTTCTTGACCTCACATCCCACAACTCCCCTTATGGACTTTGCACTGGCTGTTCCCTCTGCCTGGAACCCTTCTCCCTCAGACATCCACTTGGTGCACTCTGTCACCTCTGAGGTTTTACTCAAATTCACTTTTTTCAGCGAGGCCCCCTCTGACCACCCTCTATAATACCACCATCTCTCCCCGGCTCCATGACCCCCTTACCCTGCTGTCCTGTTTCTTTTGCCATAGAGAGCACTTACCACCTTCCGACATGCTCCTTAACCAATGGATCCAAAGTACCCACAGCACTGCCTGAACCACAGTGGGGGATCAGTAGATATTTGCAGAAGAAATGACATTAATAATAATAATAATTAATTAATTAATTATTAATAATAATAGCTGATACTCACTGGGTGCTTAGGAGGCACCAGGCCTGTGCTTCCCTTCCACAAGCTCATATATGAAATCCTACAAAGAGGATGTTATTCTTATCTCCATTTCACAAATGACAGTGCAGAGTGGCAGGGCAGTGAAGTCACTTGCCCAGAGTAACAGAGCTCCAGCGCCCAGTGCACACCTAGGAGACCTCACCCACTCCACTGGGGTTCCATGCCATCCCTAAGCCATTGACCCCAACTGTGTGTATCTCACTCTCATCTTCCTTCCAAGCTCTAGCATCTGTCTGCTTAACACCTTTCCATGATTAGAATGGGTTTTTTTTTTCATTCCCTTTGCTACCCAACAAAGCAAAACACAACGCGTGACCTTCTGCCAGCTTTTCTCCCATCTGCACAAACAGCACCACCGTCGATCAGCATAGCTGCCCGGGCCACACGCCTGGAGCCAGACTCGTCTTTCTTTTCCTCGTGCCCCGTCCGGGCCTAGCCATTCTCCGTCTCTCACATGTCCACTTCTCTCTGTCCCCATGGCCACCGCAGCTGGCCCTGCTCCGAAGGCTGCTCCATCAGCATGTCACTAGCTCCCTGTGCGTCACAACGTGGAGCCCCAGCCCGTCTGAGTGGAGGGAGGAGGTGGGGGTGAGAAGCAGGGGCCCTCGCTTACTCTCAGTCACAGTGATTCTTAACCTTTCCGGGTCACAACCTTGACGGTTGAGGGCCCTTTCCCCCAGAAAAACACACACATGCGCACGCACTCAGAGTTCTGTTTACGGGGCCGGCTTCACAGGGTGTGACTTGTGTGGTCCCACAAGGTCCCGTGTTCGGAGGCGCCTGTGCTTGGTGTAATGCTCTGCTGTTGAATTCTTCATTTTTGAACAAGGGGCCCCACGTGTTCATTTTTTAACGGGCCCCACACGTTGTGTAGCCTGTCCTATGTGTGTACAATTAGTAGGGTAAGAAAAAGAGATATTCGAACTCTGCTCAGGGACCCTGTCCCAGGTATGTAGAGCCCTTTCCACGCCCATCATGTATCTCTACCCCTTTCTTACTCACATCCCACTGTCATCCCTAGATCCAACCTGCCATCTGTTCCCGCCTTGGTTTCCCTGGAGTCAGCTGGGCGATGGCAATGGCCGAAGTGGATGCGAGAGACTCGCCAGGGTGGGAAGAGGACTTTGGCGAGTGTGGTGGCGAGTGACATGGGACCCCCACCTTGTCCCCTCCATCGATGGACATAACGAATGCCTCCAGAGGACCCGCTATCCTCCACTGCAGACGATGCCCCCAGGCCCCCGAGGCAGAGCCCAAGTCTGTAAAGGCGGTATAAGTAGGCACACAGGGAAAAGATGGCCGACTAAATTCAGAGGAGTTCCTAGGGCAGGGCTGGGCCAGAGGGTGTGGGTCCATATTAAAGAAACCGGGGGCTTCCTGTGTTCAGGAGACCGCTGACAAATGCGCCGGGCCTGGCCAAGTCCATTCATTCAACAAGCTGGGGGGCCGGAGCCCAGCGCCTGCTCCTGCACCAACCCGAGCCATCCCCCGCCCCCTTGGCAACCCCTGACCTTCCTTCGCATCTGTCCAGAGGGCTGGGGCATCGTGCCCTGATTTCAGACCTTGATTAGCCTTCTGGTTGATTTTCATAACAAACATTGATTTTATAACTATCCACAGGTGTCTAGCCTATGCCTCGTTGCGCTAAGAAAAGCTCACGTTTAATGAGCGCTTACTGTGCCCCTGGGGCTTTTCTGGGTGCTTTACATATATTATTGTTTTTAACCCTCACA